TATATTTATATATTTACGGATCGGATCGGATATCCGCTTCCCAAAATTTTACTATTTGTGATTTGCTTCGATTTTAACGGATATTGAATTTTAGTATTTGCTTTGATTCGAAAGTTTACGGATATCCGGAATTTTCGGATCGAATCGAAACGAATAACGAATCGAATCAAATATAACGGATAAAATGCCCAGCCCTATTATTAACCTCATGCAGACGTAACGTAACTTCAAAACCAAGCAACTACCAGAAAAGGAGAAAACAAGTCTTTGTCCTTTAAAACCCCCACAAAAAAGCACAGACCATAAAATCTCTATTTAATCTTGTATAATATATAGTTGGTGTAACCACCACATATATATAATACGTTTAAAACTGTGTTTATTTTTACGAATATAAACTTTCCTAATATGTTTACTGTTGGTCATACTTAGGAGCTTGGACTGGGAGAATCCAGATGGGATAAAGTGTGCTTTGGAGACGACACCGATCCTTAACATGTCAATGCCCTTCAGCGTAGGAACAGACTACAGGCTGTTTTCAGTAGCGGAAAACGTCACGCGTTCTCTTAAAGTTCCGGTTTACTTCCTCAACATTACGAAACTCTCTGAGTACCGGAAAGATGCTCACACTTCGGTTCACACAATCCGACAAGGCAAAATGCTGACGACGGAGCAACAAGCTGATCCCAACACTTATGCTGATTGTATCCATTGGTGTCTTCCCGGTTTGCCTGACACGTGGAACGAGTTCCTTTACACACGTATTATTTCACGTTCCTGACCAAAGAGACCAAAAAACAAGTTTGGAATATTTTGAAATTTTATTATTTTGATATCATAAAGTTCATAATTTTTCTTGAATTGTAATTGTGAAATGTTTTTTTTTTTCTTACTTATGGTTTATTAGAGTGTCTATTAGGATGAAAATGGAAGGGACTTTTAACTGTTTTTTTGTATTCTTGAACTTTGGAGTGAGGTGGTAAGCAAAGGATGCCAAATGTTGTTGTTTTTGTCAATCAATTAGGTAAAACTTGGCCACAAAAAAAAAAAAAAAAACTTGCCCACATTAACCGTGATCGATAATCATACAGTATGTTCAGAAAGTTTTAAGACTGAAGTTGATAACCAGCTTATGCCAAAAGATAAGTTTTGTCAGTTCAGATCCGTATTTGACATAACCAAGTGAAACATTGACATTTACTCTTCAAAATTTTAGGAGCTAATATATAAATGTAAGCTTCCAATTTAATTAAAAAATTTGAATTAATTTCTCTACTAAATTGTTTTGCTCCCAAAATTTTGATGCTATAGATCAGTATTTTAGATAAAATCATTGGTCGAGGGTCTTGTCCCGAATAAGAAAAGATTAGTGAGAGAGAGAGGAACGTAGTATCGTTGTTGGGATGTAATGCTCGTGTGTAGATCCAGGTTTGATTGTCTATGGTTTGATTGGCTATGATCATCAGTTTTCGCTAGTCACATGTTAGTAGTCTATGTTTTCAGCCCACATGTCGGTCCCTTATCCCTGGCAATGCCGAAATTTTAATTTTCGAGTAATTGAAAGTCGAACCAAGTGATTTCATCGTATTGGACTTTTGTTCTCAAGTTAATCAAACTATTATTCAGATGAAAAGAAAAGAAAGAAGCATCAGTTGTGATATCTTGATAAATGGTTAGATCTTTATTTATGCGACAAAGAATCTTTCAATAAAACTGTATAACCTGATGACAAAACCACATCTTCAAATCTCTATACAATCGACCCTTTTGTAAGAATGAATGTGTAGCAGAAGACAAAGAAGAAGTTAAAACGTGTCAGTGATGATCAACTAGGAACCGGCATACCAATATAACCAACTCCAACAATAAAGAAAGCCGTGGACTGCAAGAAAAGGTATACATAAAGGTATGTCTTCCCAAACACAAAGTCATAGTATCCACATATGAATAGATACATCCCAACCATTATCTCTCGCCATCTGAGTCTGCAAATATTTAACCACATCACAATCACATCATTGTTCTAACAAACTTGTCGTGCAAGTAAAGAAATTCAAACCTTTCAGGGAAGCTGTAGTGAGTAATTAGGTTTTCCCTAAGAGTGTTATACTCTCCTAGCTTCTGTGTCACAACCCATTCTTTAACTCTACTAGTCTCTAGCAATCCAATGAGAGTTCCTTTACTCCTATGCATTGCCATAACGTTCTCAAACAAGATCCAATACAGTATTAGGTAGAAAGATTTTGGTGTTGCAATAGCGTTGAGGATAGTGATGGTTGCTGGAATGTAGATAGTTGTCCATTTAGGGACTTCTATTTCAGGAAATATAACTGTAGCAGGCAGGATCAGACAGTAGAAGACGAATGTGAAGATGTGTACAACAATCTTCCTCACAAAGAAGAAGTTGTATATCAAATAAGCCTTCTTCCATAAAGACACATTCTGTAACCAAACAATATAAGGTCATTGAACTTTGCTTGTGTTCCAAGAAAGACAGATTTTTAGGGCTTATGTGATGTACTAACCTCTTTTTGGATTATCTCCATGGCCATTTTCTTGAAGAGGTTTGCTGGACCACAAGACCAACGATGTTGTTGATACCTATATGCTCTAAACGAGCTTGGCAGCTCGTTGCTCACCTGAAACCCCAAACTTTTTAGGTCATTTATAATACAAGTTAAGTCACTGGTCTTACTAAAAATGGAAAGTTTATTGATTTTAAACCTTAATGTTGTCAACAAACACAAACTTCCAGCCGTTTAAGTAAGCCCTAACTGCTAAATCCATGTCCTCAACAATCGTCCGGTCCTGCCATCCACCAGCCTCATTCAAAGCTGAGATTCTCCACACACCAGCAGTACCTAAAGTCAACAATGTAGTTATGATCACATAATACAAAACATACAATGAGCTTTGGTATTGATCTTCACCGTTGAATCCAAAGAACCCATGTAGGGAGGATCCAGACTTTTGCTCCACAGCAAAATGGTAGTTAAGAGACATCTCTTGTATTCTTGTCATACAACACTCATCTGCATTCACTATCAAATCACAAACAAGCAAAATCAGTTACAAAAATCGACCAAAAACCTGTCTTTAGCTAATTTTAAAATGAAGAAGAAAGATCTTACCATATTTCCAGCCTGCTTGTACAAGAGCTAACTCAGAGTTGTGTGCAAGAAAAGGAACAGTACGTTCAAGAAAATCAGATTCAGGTTGAAAATCTGCATCGAATATAGCAACAAACTCGCATCCTTCCACATAACTATGTTTCATCCCTGCAGTGAGAGCTCCTGCTTTGTACCCGTTTCTACTGTCTCTAACCTCTGACTTTATGTTTATACCTTCACTCGCCCATTTCTTACACTCTAATCTAACCAGTTCCTATTTTTCAATAAGACCCTTTTTGTCACATTGTAATAAACAAAGCTGAACAAAAAGATCAATGAGAGACTCAAATGGGTTTTAAAGAAAAGACCTTACTGTGTGGATCAGTTGAGTCATCTAGCACTTGAACAATCATCCTATCCAATGGCCATGATAGCTTGCAAACTGCTCCTATAGAAAGTTGGCACACCTGTAAAAGAAAAAATATCAGTAGTGAAACTGAGTGTTCTGTTTCTTGAAGCAGACTGTTCTGTTTCTTGAAACAGAGTGTTCTGCTTCTTGAAACAGAGTGCTCTGTTTTTTTTGTTTGGAACAAAGTCAAACCTCTTTTTCGTTGTAGATTGGGATTTGGATGAGAACCATTGGATGATTACTGGAAGGAGCTAACTCAACGTCATCACTCTTAAAAGATTCCCATCTGAGAATTTTCTCAGGCGTTCGTCCACGTAATTTGACAATGGCTACAACCATAGCCATGTAAGATGCATCTATAAACAACAACAAAGAGATGACCTGACAAAGATTCACCAAGACATTCAGAATCGGTACGAGGAAGATGAATCTTGTCTGCTCTAAGACATATCCAATCACTCCCAAGAAGTTCATGTCGTTGAATAAACCATCTGAAGATGTCGCCATCACAGAACACTTTTTTAAACAAGAAGAGACAAGAGCAGGAGAAAGCTTTAAAATCTCTTCCTCATGAAAGAGAGATGAGCTTGGGGAAGATCAGACATTCTTTTTTGTGGTTTTATTACAATGTCTTTTTGATTTAGTAAAAGTCTTTGTCTATTTCATTAAAATAATCAAAGTAGACATGTATAGTCGTGATCATAAAAGTTAAATTAAATGTGTGTTTTGATTGAGCTGGAATTGGTTGTTTCCACATCTCACCATGTCTTAGTTTTTATGTTGAGATTTGTATGTATTTTGATATAATATAATCAGAATCTCTGACTTTTGTTTAGATTTAAATGTCTGATTGATTAGATTAGTAATCGCTGCATAGTTGGACCGATCAAATGATAGCTACTCCTACTCTTAAATAGTTTAAATGCCCATAACAACGACACCATTAACTAATAGATATGGCCCCATATATATTTACATTTTGATGGATAGCTATCCATATTTTGTCATATTTGGTAAGAAAATAGCTACAGAAAATACAATAGATTATATTATCTTTCACATTTTATAATCTTTTTTTTAACACATCACATTTTATTATATTTCCTTTCAATTATTTACATGTGTGAATTGTCGCTAAAGACAAGCAGTTTCGTTGGGGTCCTCCTCTCATCAATGCAAACAAGGACTAATCACTTACAAAGTCAATGATTAGTGGACCATAGCAGAGAAGACAAAATGTAAAAATTAAGTTCATTCATGCATTTAGTTAAAATTAAGTGCATGAGTTGCAGGTTGTAACTTGTACATTGGGTAGATAAAGTTTGCATAAATAGAATTTAAACGTCAGACCTGCAAAATTTAACTCAAATAAAATAAAAAGGCCTCAAATTTATTCAAATGGGCTTTATGTGAACCAGCCCATATTACTCTTCTACAAGTCACGTAGTTTCCACACGCTCTAGAAAGCGAGTGAAAGAAGAGAAGTAGAACCTAATCTTGTATTCTCTTCTCTGCTTAGCTTCACTGCCACACAAACTCAAAGCTGTTTCTCCCTCTGCGTCTTCCTCCTTATGCATCGCTCTTAGAACTACGTTCATCTCTATTCAAACATGGCCGTCGCTCTCAACGCCGGCTTCATTTCTCCGGTAAGTATTCTTCTTCTTTAATAACCATAAGCTTTTTCTTGATTTGCTGAAAAATAACAAAACCAATCTCCTCTCTTTCAAGCTTCATAACAGATCCCACCCTGTTCCAAGATTCTCAACTCAAGTTACAACGTTAAAGTCTTCACCTTTACTTTCAAGCAAAAGGAGATTGGTTGTGTCTTGTTTGAAGTCAAATGAAGATTCCATCACAATAACATCAGTCAATGACCCTCCTCCCTCTCCGGATTCAAGTAAACCCGTTGAATCAACCAACAACGGGTCTACGAAAAGAGCACCGTTAACAGCGAGAGAGAGACTAAAAGCAGCTCGTGTCCTTAGCCGATACACAGAGGCAACACCGAAACCAACAAAACCCAAAATGGGGAGCCAAATCTTGGAGGTGCTCAAGGAAAGCGATAAGAAATCGAATAGGAAACCGGGTCTACCCGAAGCACCAACCAACATGCTTGATGATAGCAAGAGAGGTATGCCGAAGAAAGGGCTTACCTTTGATCTACCTGGAAGTGCAGATATACTAGTGATTGCTTTTTCGTTTGTGTTTATTAGTACTGTGATGTTTGCTACTACCTATGTTGTCTGGAAACTTGGTGGCATTCACTTCAATGAGAACTAAAGATGAGATCTTTGGACAAGTTTCCAGAGTTTGGAAACTATTTGAGCAGAGAGTGAGAGTTGTAGTTGAAATGTATACTTGGGGGAAGTTTATCACTTGGCAAAGATGGTTTGATTGTATACTGTGTAGTATTATTAGTACACATAATTTTGTTATTACATAATCTCTTCTTGCTTTATATTCAGTTTTAACCTTTACATTAAACCCAAGAAAAAGCCAAGGCAAACCATATGTTTGAACCTTGACCCAAGAAAGTAGTCTTCAAAGTTCTGCTACCAAATATTATAAAAAGATTTAAAACTGATTACATCATACAAAATTTGGATAAATGAAATACAAAAGATAAATTCGGGTACTTTTCGCATTAAAAATTAAATGAAAGGAGACACTAATCATGCATGTTTCTTTCCGAACTTTTTTGTAGTACGTATTCCATATTGAACTAAACAAAAACTTAAAAATATTATATGAATTTAACATATCGTGCATTTTTCTTCCAAAACTTAAGTGCATATTTCACACTGAACTAAACAAAAGTATAAAAATACAACACAAACTCTCAAAATTGTGCTTATATAATCCGTCAAATTTGTCAATCATCCGTTAGTTTATCAAAATAATGTCATTTTAGATCAATTTTATAAAATTAAAAATACTACATAAACTTGCAAAATCATGCTTATATATATATTAATCAAAAAGATATTACTCATAAATTAATTTATGAAAACAACATCATTTTGAATAAATTCTATAAAATTATAAATACTTTTTGAGAGGTTCAAACTTTCACACTGGTGGACAAGTAAGAGCATAATAATTGGTAGACCAAAGTAACTTTCTTGTATTTAATTATGTAAACATTAACTTATAATTTTTTAATCAAATAAATGTTATCAATTTTTTTTTATTAATTTATCAAACAATCTATAATTATTTATATTTTAAATTTAAATGTAAAAATAATTATTTTTTAAAATTAAACTTAATTATTATTAATTAAAATATTTATTTTATACTTGTCCATTAGTGTGAGAATTCGAACATCCCATAATTTTTTTAGTTTTATAGAATTTATCCTAAATGACGTTCTTTTGATAAATTAACAGATGACTAACATCTTGATGATCAATATATATAAGCAAAATTTTAAGAGTTTGCGTTGTATTTTTAAACTAATTTACAGAATTTATAAAAAATGACGTCGTTTTGATAAATTACCGGATGTGTAACATCTTTGATGGTTAATAGATATATAAGCACGATTTTGCAAGTTTATGTAGTATTTTTAAATTTCTATTTTAGAAAACTTATCGCAACTGGCGTTGTTTTGATAAATTAATGGATGACTAACAAATTTGATGGTTTATATATATATCAACACGATTTTGAGAGTTCATGTAGTATTTTAATACTTTTATTTAGTTTAGTGTTGAATATGTACTGCTATAAAGTTCGGGGATGAAGTAAAGTTCCGGTAATATTTTTTAAGTTTTTGTTTAGTTCAGTATGAAATGCGCACTACTACAAAATTCGGGAAATAATATGCACGACTAGTAAAATTTAGGTTGAAATAGACCATTTTTCTCGTACTTGGGTACTAATGCAAGAGTGTTGGTCAAAGAAAATACTAATTTGAAAAGAGCACTGTTAACAGCAAGAGAGAGACTAAGAGCAGCTCGTGTCCTTAGCCAATACACAGAAGCAACACCGAAACCAACAAAACCCAAAATGTGGAGCCAAATCTTGGAGGTGCTCAAGGAAAGTGACAAGAAATCGAATAGGAAACCGGGTGGCACCAACCAACATGCTTGATGATAGCAAGAGAGGTATGCCTAAGAAAGGGCTTCCCTTTGATCTACCTAGAAGTGCAGATATACTGGTGATTGCTTTTCCATTTGTGTTTATAAGTACTGTGATGTTTGCTACTACTTATGTTGTCTGGAAACTTGGTGTCATTCACTTCAATGAGAGCTAAAGATGAGATCTTTGGACAAGTTTCCAGAGTTTGGAAACTTTTTGAGCAGAGAGTGAGAGTTGTAGTTGAAAACTTGAAATGTATATTTGGGGGGGGGGGGGAGAAGTTTATCACTTGGCAAAGATGGTTTGATGTTATACTGTGTAGTATTAGTACACATAGTTTTGTTATTACATAATCTCCTACTGCTTTATTTTCAGTCTTAAGACCCCTATAACCCAAGAAAAGAAGTCTTCAAAGATGTACCCAACATTCAGGAAGAGGTTGGGATTATCAAATTATTTTCTCTATCACAGTTTATTTTATTAAAATAGTATACGACTGACTACATATTCAATTTTTGATAAATAAAATAAAAAGAAGACATTATTGTTTTTTTATTTGAAAACTAAGTGTTCTAAAATGCAGTTTAGGCATGTTTAACCGGCAACCATGTATTACACTGTAACTGAACATCCAATGCTATACAATGTTTTTAAGTCTATTTAAATAATTTGGACCTATAATAACATCTAAGAGGATACTGTACGGCTTACACAAACATTTTTATTGTGTCCTAAACACTTTAAATTATTCATACTAGGTGATTTTCCCGTGCTCATGCACGGGTATGAATATTCATAAAAATAAAATTTTATAATAATCGATTGGTATTTAATTTTAGTTTTGAATCAATTAATATGTATAATTTATATTAATAAGTATTATATTATTCTAATTATACATATGACTTTGGATATATTATTGTCGGTGTAATTATTTTCGGATCAATAGTTGGTTTGGTTATCGATTTGGTATATTGGATAATATCTATTTTTTCGACTTCAGCTATAATATCTTTTATTCTAAATATAATAAAACTTTGATTAATTTATTTATTTTCATTTCGGTTGGTTATTGTCTTTATGTAACTATATTCTTAGATATGTAAATATATGATAGTTAAATTGTGTATAGCTTAATATATATTGTGCTTAAATGAAATAAATAATTGATTGATATTTAGTTTTAGTTTTTAATCAATTTATATGTATAATTTATATTAATAAATATTATATTATTCTAATTATACATATGATTTTGGATATATTATTACTGGTTTAATTATTATTTTATCAATAGTCGGTTTGGTTATCAATTTGGTATATTAGATAATATTTATTTTTTTGAATTCAGCTATAATATTTTTTATTCTAAAAATAATAAAACTTTGATTAATTTTCTTATTTTCATTCCGGATGGTTATTGTCTTTATATATGTAAATATATTCTTAGATATGTAAATATATTATAGTTAAATTATGTATAACTTAATATATACATATATATATATATATATTGTGCTTAAAATGAAATAAATAATAAGCTGAAGTGTTTAATTCAAAATTACATAAATAAATATAATGATAATATTTTAAAGTCGCATGCATATATATAAATTCTAAAAAGAATTAAATTGTAATTGGTTAATATTTTATTTTTCTTTTTAATATGCTTTGGGTCAACCTCTAGTTTATATGTATAAAACTAAATAGATTATTAATATTATTATTATTATTATAAAATTATATGTTCTTATTGTAGTTAGTTGATTAATTTTGAATATAAATTAGATTAGCCGAGTCATTCATTTTGTGAGTATATTGAATATCATATATTTGTAAATTAAAATTGAAGAATAATTAATTTTTATTTTAGTTATGTCAAATATTTTATTTATCGCTTAAATATACATGTATTTTCATAATATTTATTTACTATTTATTTTAGTTAACCAAATCAAATTAGTTTTAGTTATCGCTTATATATACATGTATTTTCATAATATTTATCAAATTATATGTTGATTTCTAAAAAATATTAGAAAATAAAGTGCAACTGATAAGTTTTTGGATGTTCATGAACATATATATTTTTATTATTTTGAAAATATATTTTATGTTATTTTAAAATATATATTAATGGGGTATTGCTATTTTGTGAACTTTCCGTTTTAATAAAGTCATATTATATACATATATTTTGTTTTAAAAATTTGTTTTAAAATTTTAGAAATATTTCCTTTTTTATTGTATATGTTTTTTGGAAAAAGGTAAAAAAAACTAAATAAAAAATAATAATCTTAAAATCTAACAAATCATTAAGGGTATCTATGTAATCAACCATCGTGAGAGTTAACGTGAGCGCGGCACGTAGAAAACTGACTTCTCAAATAATATTATAGAGATTTAAAGAAAGTTGATTTTTATGTCATGAGCTCAAATAAGCCTGGGCGTTCGGATACCCATTTGGGTATGAGTACGACCCACTCGGGTATCAATTTCTTTGGGTTTTGAAAAATGGTCCGACTTGAGTATTACAAAAAAAATCAGGTCGGGTCCTCCTGATTTTGGGTGGGTTCGGGTTTTAACCGAAGTAACTAAAGTACTCGATTCTATTCGGGTATTTTATATCTAAATTACTTAAATTTATCTAAAAATAACTAAAATCTCAAAAAATACTCAATATATATGATTCAAATTGGTTATTTTTTTGTAGAAAGTAACTATAGATACAATGTTAATTGGATACTTTATATCCAAAACATCAATTTTTATCTATAAATATCCAAAATAATTAATATATTTGATATATAATTTTAATTTTAGGCATTACTATTAGTAAAAGTATAATTATAAATATTATTTTTCATATATATATATATATTTATATGTTTGGATATGTTCGGATACTCATTCGGTTCTCGGTACGGATCGGATTCAGTTTCGGTTTTTCGGGTTTTGAAGAAAGGACCCTTTCGGATATTTAGGCTACATCCGATCAGGTTCGGTATCCTGATTTTCGGGTCGGTTTCGGGTAAGTACTTCGGGTACGGATATTATGTCCAGCCCTAAGCTCAAAGTTAAAACTCTCTTTAGTGCTAAATATTTTTCAAAAAGAAAGCTAATTTGGGACTTGAAGGAAATTACTTGATACCAATACGCATATAGGCTTTTAACATTGGTCTGTTATTTTATCACGGGCGTAATAGGCCCATCGAGACTGTCTTCTTCCTTAATGCTTCACTTAAACCCTACCACACGAAGCAAACTCTCATTTTTACTAATAATCTCCGACGCTCTTAAATCATCGAAATGTCTCTTCTCCGGCGTTACGTTAAAGAAGCAACCAATTCACGATTCCTCCTTCAATCAATCTCCATACGTTCCATCTCCACCATAAACACCAATCCACCTCGCCGCCGCACAACCACCGAGTTCGATAACCTCATCTACGAAGCAGCAACCTCCAACGACTTCGAATCCGTACGACGTCTCCTAAACACGCGCGTCGTAAACGCCTGTTTCAACACCACCGCGACATTCAAGTTCCTAACAAACACCGCCTCCTACGCCTCCTCGCTCGAGAATCTCCGCCGCGTATTGCCCCAGACCGACGCGGGGTACACTCGGAAACACGCCTACGAGACGCTCATCGCCCGTCTCTGCAAGCTGGGACGCGTGGACGACGCGCTGGTCCTGGTCGAGGACATGGCGATCGGGAGATTCGGTTTGTCCACGTGTACTTTCCACCCGATCTTGAACGCGCTGACGAAGAAGAGTAAGGTGGAGGAGGCTTGGCGCGTGGTGGAGGTTGTTATGAGATCTCACGCGGTTGTTATGGACGTTACGGGGTATAACTACTTTTTGACTTCGTTCTGTTACGATGGTGACGTGGCGGGGGCGAGTGAGGTTTTGAGGAGGATGGAGGGGGAGGGGATGGTGGGGGATACGAGGACTTACGACGCGCTTGTTTTGGGCGCGTGTAAGGCGGGGAAGGTGGAGGGTGCGATGGGGGTTTTGAGGAGGATGGAGGAGGAAGGGTTGCCTGTTTTGTATGCGACTCATGCGCATGTTATTGGGGAGATGGTGGAGTGTGGCTATTATGCGCAGGGGGTTGAGTTTGTGATGGCGTATGCTGGGAGAGATAAGAGGTTGGATGAGGAGAGTATGGGGAGTTTGGCTAGTAAGCTTGTGAAGAGGAAGAGGTTTAAGGAGGCGAAGATGGTTTTGAAGGAGATGAGTGTGAGAGGGTTGAGGATGGGTGATGGGTTGCGTGAGTTTTATGAGAAACAGTGTGATTGATTGTAAGAAGACACGATCACCATTGTTACAGAGACAGAACCGAACACATTGGATATAGAATTATGTTTAATTTACAAGGGGAAGCAGCAACATTTACAGGAAGGATAGAGACTACTCTACTGTTTATTTGCACCATATGTGCTTTTATTACAATAACTTTCTACTCAGAGGAGGCTTAAGATTATTGGATAGAGTTAGTAACTTGTACTTGTTCAAGATGAATGTGAGATCCATTGAGTTTGTAGTTCCAGTACCAGCTTCCTGTTTCCATTAACTCCTCTTCTATTGCTTCCAAGTTGATGCTTAAACCTAAATCTATAACCAAACTAGTGTCAGTTTGGTCTGATTAATTATCCACCATTGTTTTTTTTAAAGTAGAATTCACTGACCAGGATTTTTTCCTTGTGTGATCTTCAGTCTGTGGCCATCAGGTACTTCAAAGACATGGTTCCCCTGTATCATCCACGAATATAAGACACTTCATTTAAAGTAGACACTAAAAATATCTGTTTTGCACACTCGAGTTACTTTACCTCTATAGTTACATTGCTGGCTTCGAATTCTGCATTTCCGTGCAATATGATTTTGCAAGTCTCGAGCCGGTTCACATCGTTTCTCCAGTAAACATTTGATTTACTGTTCCAATCGATTCCTCTGTTCACTACCTTGACGTTATGCAGTTTGCACTTGCCACACCTAATACAAAGTTACAAACAAAAAAGGTTCCTTGTGAATATAAATATGCAAACAAATGTTATACATTAATGAGATATTCGAGTTCAAGTTCAACTGCTCTAACCTTAGTCCGTATTGTAATATTGGTTCACCATTTTCGCTAATTGTTGTTGAACCCATGGCATTTTCAGCATTGATGATCAGGCTACCATCAACCTATGTCACATAAGCTGATTTAGTATTTAAGAAACTCAACACAACTAAAAATCAATGTTTATAGTTGGCAGACAATTAAACTTTACGAACCTCAACATTGTTCCATGAGAACTCTGCAATCTCTAGTTGCAGTTCTGAGCAACTAGAAATTGACCCTCCCTTGAACTGCAACAATGATAAAAAAGATATCAATTACAGTATTTGCTTAAAAGCATAAAACAAAAGCAGACGGCACTTTCTAGTGTCAAGAACAGACTTATTGACTTACTTTCTGTCTTGAAACTTCCCAAAGAGGACCAAGAGCAGGATGCAGAAGGATGAGATACGGTGGTGGACTATCCACATATTGATCATTAGGTTCAACCTGGAGAAGTAGAATACAACTATTAATTCTAAATCCGAATTCATTTTTGATAATACACGTCACACAGCTCATGGCTCTAAAGTAGCGATGATAATCAAAACAAGTCATTTAAAAGAGATGTATCTATGAACTAACCATGGGTATTTTAATATCACATTCTGTAAGGAGGTCATATGCATTTCGGAGTATATCCAACAATGCACCATCTGGAGTCTGTAAGGAAAAAAATAAAGTTGAAAATTGAATAAATTACGCTTGAGTAAATAAATTAATTCAATGATACAAGAAAAAAAAAAGCAAAGAAGGGCTACGCAAGTGGTTAGAGAAAGATAACCTGGTGTAGTGCAGCACTTGCGTGAGGTTTCTTCTTCTTAGCTGATGAAGTAACCCTTCTTCGTTCGTTGTACACAATATATGTATCCAGTTTATCTGGTAAGATCATATCAAGGGAGTAAGCAACACCTAATTTCAGGCATACATAAAACATTGCAACCTATTTAAATAACCCTACCTTCTAGGCTGCCCTGGCATCTAGATGGAAATTTATTTGAGAAACTGTCTGCTATGTTTTGCATCGTGCACTCCAATCTACCACCCATAACGCTGCCCAAGAAAGAAAATAGTAAGAAAGTTGCTTACGAGAAGAATGGCGAGCAGTCAGCATAGGTGTTCAAATAATACAAACCTGTGATAGTCTCCGTACTGATCAATGTACTCAATTCGCTTCTTTGTATTGAGAACCATATTTGGCAAACTTTTTACATTACTGCTTGACCCAATTGATTCGGCGGAATGTAAGTCTACATATAGAATGTTTGTATTGGCAGGAAAATCAGCCTGCAAACTTCAGAAGCAAAAAGAAAGGAGATAAAGAGAATTGAAGGTTCACGTCAATAAATAGCTCTAGATCTAACCAGTGAACAGATGGAACACCTAAAACCAAAGCCAGCCAACTAAAGTGTAGATACATTACAGCTAGAAGAAAGACAAATACAATCTTAAGCATGAATAACTCAACGACAGAAATCTCATACCCATTAACAGTTGGTGATCTGTTGGAGATTCCGAATTTATCAAATTCTGTGTACTCAATGCATGATATACCATACTCCCACTTCCCATCAAGATTCTTCTTCTCCATCAATACATTAATTCCTTCGGTAGCTCCAGCATTCCTTTTGCAGGATGCAAACCCAAGTTTCTGTCACATTAAGATTCACAATACATCAATGTTTGTAGTAATTTTTCCACGTCAAAAAGAATCCACTAACTTTTTATCTTGAAGAGGTAGAGAGGTGGTAACACATAGTTATGTGTTCACAACTAGTAAATAAGTTTGGAAAGCATATTCATATCTTAGTAGACAGGTAACGTCTATGAAAACTAACTAAACAAAGTTTGAGGCCTATAACAACTAGTAAGCGAGTTTGGAAGGCATAGCTCATATTTCTACGGGAACTTATCCATCACAGACGCTAAAAAACTATACTACGTGATATAGAAATCTTTTTAAGCTCAGCGAACATACCATTTGCAATCAACACCAGATTATCATCCTTTTCATCACCAAAAGTGACATAATTAACTTTTGAATCTATGTTCAGTGTGTGATTTCTAAATAAAGAATGCAAGATACCTTCTTATACCGTAAACCAATTCCAGCCAGGGCCAAGAGAGTCACATCTGTGGCAGCGACAACATTACTGCAATATCACAACTATCAACACTAAATCCAGTGTTCCAAAGTAGTTCTGATTTTACTTTAATGAACAACTACACAAGGTATAAGTGACTCACCTAACTTGACGAACGGTTGCTCCTTTTCTCCCATGGTCATTAAACCATTTAAAGACACCTTTGTCATAAGCCAATTTCCAAATGACACCATGACCACCAGGTTTACTAACTGGCACGAAGGGCTTTGATACTATCCATTGCCCATCTTCAGCGCTGACAGCTGGGACGAGAGGCTAAAAATCAAAAACCATTTTTAACCGTGAGCATAATCGATATATATAGTTGTTCTCAAAAAGGGTAAATATGAACCAAAAGAAAATACATATTTACAATACCTGTTCAAAGAGTTGGAAATTTGATTCACCTCTTCCAAACCATTTAAGTCTTTTACAAAGCGAACTAACATGCTCATGGTTCTTCTTTGCAGCACTTGTCATAATGGCAACAGGTGTGACACATTGCTTTCCATAAAGTTTGAAGTAAAGGAACTCCCTAGCCTATAAAATTACAAAATGAAAAGGATAAACAAGTAACATTACTAACTCACATGAACAAAAACAGTTGCTCATATTCACTTTCATTCACTCAAGTATAAACAAACCTACCAAGAGTCACTGAAGTAGTTAGTGAACATGTACCTGAAGGTCTCTAATAAGTCCCTCCAGCAAAGTTCGTCCACAATGAGTAAGCATTGCTGCAGGAAGGCATTCTCCTGTTTCTGGATCAACCAAACCTAATCTGTCCGCTGCACCTCCTAGGGGATAAATTTCACCTAGGTCTGGCAATCCCTAATATGCATAAAAACTTATAATCCAGAAACCAAAAAGCAAAACTCAGTAAACACCAAAAACAATAGCACCAATACTAACCTCAATTCCCCAAAGTGCAGCCTGGGAAGCATACTCTTTCTCTTTAGTAAGATCAAGAACGCTAGGAGTGTGCATTTCTAAGTACTGGCAACCCAAAGATTCTTCAACAAGGTGTGACCGGTTAATGTTATGCCTCATAGTCGATTGGTGAAGAAGCTCAAGAACCATAACTTGATATCTAACAAACAAACATGCATGTCTCAGTAGTGAATACATACAAAGACAGAAATAGCATTCTTAGATCATTTGTAACCGAACCCGAACCCGAGATCCGAACCGAAGCCCAACCGAAAAAACCTAAATCCATACCCAATATGTTAAAAATACCCGAATGGATCATGTAGAACAGTATTTAGGTTATCTGATCAGAATCCAATCCAATCCGAAAGGATAAACACTCAAAAACCCAATGTATTATTAACTGAATCTGAGTCGAACATATATAATCCCCTAAGACCATGATTAACCCAGGTTCTTAAGATGGGATTCTTAGCTTCGTGGCTAAGAACACTAAGAAGAGCTAAGAAAGTCTCTTAAATAAGAGATAAGAGCACATACAATAGTGGACCGTGATGTTCTCTAAGAACATGTTCTTACCCTAAAAAAAAACAAAATAGTTAAGAACCCCAAATTAAGAACCCGGTTACTCATGTTCTTAGGCCTAAGAGGATGTACGGTCCAAAATATTATTAACCGATCCCGAGCCGAATATATATAGAAAACCCAAAATGGGGTCTAAGAGCATCTCCAATGTAAAACTTCATTTTTTCCTCCAAAATGGAGTAAAAGTGATTATGGAGTAAATATGCTCCAACCCCACTCTATTTGTAACTCCATAATGGAGTAGTGAACAAACAAAAAATAGATTACTCCATTTATGGAGTAAATCTCATTATGGAGTAAGAAATGAAGTGGGGTTGGAGCATTTCTTACTCCATAATCACTTTTACTCCATTTTGAAGTAAAAAATGGAGTTGGGTTGGAGATGCCTAATAGACTGTACCGAAAACCCGATCCCAACCCGAACACCCAGGCCTAAGAGCATCTCCAACCCCACTCCAAAACCCACTCCAAACTCCATTTTGCAGTAAAATCATCTCCAACCCTACTTCAAAACTCACTCCAAAATAGAGTAACAAACATGATTACTCCAAATATGGAGTAAACCAACTCATTACTCCAAAATGGAGTTGAGCTTTTTTATTTATCAAATAGTCCTCCACATTTATATATGTTTCATTTTTAATAAAATATTATTATAAATAAGTACTATATATTATAAAATTTACTGTTATATTTAATTATATAAATAGCCTCATTTTTAATAAAATATTATTATAGATAAGTATATTAATATTATTTTACTATATATTAGAAAATTTACTGTTAATATTTCTTAATTATATAAATAGTCTCGTCTTTAATAAAAATATTATTATAAATAAGTATATTAATATTATTTTACTATATATATTATAAAATTTACTGTTAATATTTTTTAATTATATAAATAACCNTCCATTAAAATTATTAAAATAATCCGATAAAATATTATTAAATTCTTACATAACATGATAATAGAAGATGATTGTGATCTCGAGGTGCCAATTGAAGTTGAAAGAGAAGTCATGTCAAGGAAAATTGAAATTGAAGAAAATAATAATGTGAGGTTCCAAAAGTTTCTTTCCCATTTCAGAGAAATCAAAGATAAAGAAGTTCATTTTTTACTTCGAAATGCATTAGTTGATCATTTGTGGGAAAATTATTATAATTCTCATGAATAATTTAGAATTGATGTATTATTGTGTTTAAGCTATATAATGTAATTTTTAATGTATTAAATGTATTCTTTTAAAACCTTGTTGAGTAGTTTTATTTATATAATATAAATTTAATTGTGGTTAATATTGTATTTAATAGAAATGCTATAAATTTAAAATGGACTGTTTTGCGAATAGTATAAATGAAAGGTGATATTCCTAATTTTGAAATAAATATAATATTAAAATATTCTTTTGGAGTAGAAAATGGAGTAATACATTGAAGTAAAACTCAACTGCATTTTGGAGTTACTCCATTTTAGAGTAGAAAATGGAGTAATACATTGGAGATGCTCTAAGCATATTCTTTCTACTCTTAATGGTTGATCAAGTTAGAAGTTAAGAATTGATACCCGATGATTCCTCCAATGCAATCGTAGAACTGTTCAATCTCACCGAGAAACGTCAAGAACTTTCTAAAGTGATCAACCTCCTCCGCCTCTAAAACTGTATTTCTTCTATCTTTATATCCACCACTACTGTTCACATCGAAACGCTCAATCATCTCAATCAACACGTTAAACGCGTTCTTCACAGAGCTTCTCACTGTATACTCCTCTTCCTCTTCCTCCTCCTCAAATGTTTCCTCGTAGCCTACACAAAGCGCGTGCTCTTGCCCCGCAGCGATCACACACTTGACGAGAAACATCTCTCTCGAATCCGAATCCAAACCGAAGGAGCCTAAAGCCTTGGCTAAACCGCGGCGATTCGCGCTGAAGAATCGCCGGACTCTGGAATCGGAGTCGATGACCGCTTCTCTCTTCCGTAGGTCGTCGGAAGCGTCGAGTTTCGTGAGGAGAGACTTGAGCCGTTGGATTTCCGATGAGAAATCGTCGGGTTCGGGAGGAGGCGGTGTGGAGTACTCGACGGGTACGGTCGACACGTGTCTCACCAGGCGGTTGTTACATTGCTGTTGTGATCGCGAAGGGAGGAAGAGGAGAGGTTTGGTGAAGGGAGGAGGAGAGTGTGTTGTTTGGAAGCGGAAGAAGGAGAGATTGAGATGGTTGTGGTTGTTGAGAAGCGGAGAGGTTTGAGGATTAGCCATGGCGAGAGAGAGGAGGTGAGAGAGGAGGAGGAGTGTTGTGTTGTGTGTGGGGTTTTTGAAGAGGACTTGGGAGGAGGGATAAGGAGAGATACTCGAAGCATATACCCTTTCTCCTCCCAAAGCTCTCTCTTTCTTTCTCAATGTATGATTTCGCTTCTTTCTTTTTTTTTTTGAACAAAAAAAAAGATTTCGCTTCTTTTTTTTTTTTTTTTTTAGTGTGTTTTTCTAAAAAAGATGATCCAATCAGCAGTGGAGGATTTGATTGTGTTGACATTGTGTGATTGTCATGCGATGCAATCTTTAATCTGACGGTTCACATGGCTTTGCTTCGGATTACGCCGATGGGCCATGTTTTTTTTTTTGAACATCGGGCCAAGTTTCATGTCGACTCCAACGTGTTCTTAAGATTTGGGTTAACATATTACATGCGCATTTTATCTTGTTAAACAACACGTCGTAAACATATTTACGTTTAATATGTTGTTTGATTATTATTAACTCTTTTTTTCTAACCGAGTATCCAGATTAGAGACCGAAGTTATCAAAAACTAGAGACCGACGTGACCAAGCGGTAGTGTCCAGCTCACCTATAACAGAGATTATTGTTTGATATATTGTTTGATTATTATAAGCTTCGAAATTTCGCATGTGGTTTTCAGAGGTGTTTATGAGTGTAGAAAATTAGTAAAATGCGCATTCATAACTTCATGAATTCGATTGAGAGGTATACTCAGATCTTTTTTCTTTTTATTACCAGAGAAACTTTTTTAACAAAAATCTATAGTCTGACTAAATCCACACCATCATGTAATACTAGTTTCATGACAAACGTGACGATATATTTTTTTTTCATTACTTTGTAGGCTGTTTCTTCAACTCCATCATCTTAACTAAATTCTTGGATCGAGCAAACAAATACTTGAATCGGGATACTCTATGTTACTTCAAAACCTGCTTTGTTAAGGAATTTAATACTACTAACAACTAATTTACAAACGGAATAACACGTTGACAAAAAAATTCACAATAACACACAACAATATGCATTACCAAAAAGGAGTAATACCGTGATCAAGAATTCTTTCACCAGAATTTTTTTGAGTCGTTATATAAACTAGCATGGATTTATATATATAAGGCCTAAAGACAAGTAACGAGCTCCAACGAGACGCAAGAACACACACACAAACTTCACATTAATAATACTTACAGATTCGTCATGAAGCAACGTAGTAGTACTCTTTCTTTCTCACGCAGTGGACAGCACTTCCAGCTCTGCCCACCAGAGAGCTGAAAGTTTCGGAATAGCATCGTCTGGTGACAATCCTGTGATCTCTCGTAACCTCCCTGTGACTTCCTTCATCGTCGGTCTCTGTTTCGGGTCTGTTCTTACACAGCTTTTGATCACTTCGCCTATACTCTCAATCTTCTCATCAAAACATTCCAGCGTTGGATCCACCATCTCCCTCAGAGTCTTGCCTCTCAAGAACTCAGCTAAACCGGTATCTACTGAGTCACCTTTTCTGACAGACTCTGGGAGTTTCCCGGTCATTATTTCGAACATCAGCAAACCGAAGCTGTGGACGTTGTCTTCTTGGGTTGTGACTGAGACGTGCGTGTCAATGAGTGCATTAGTGCTGGTTTCTGTCTCTGATGGGCCTTTTAGGTAACCGAAATTGAAATCTGCGATTTTGACTGCGTAATCCTCTGTGAGGTGAAGTGATGATGAGAGAAGATTGCTGTGGACTATAGGTGGCTTGAGTCCGTGCATGTGGTCAAGGCAATATGCTACACCCATTGTTATTCTTAGCCGCATTATCCAGTCCAAGTGTTCTGATTCTTTATCTACAAAAGAATATTGTTTCCCATTTAAAATCGTTCAAGGAAATGAGTCAATCCATGTGAGTACAGAGTTTCTTTTTGCTTACAGTGTAAATGTTCAAAGACAGATCCGTTTGATGCGTATTCAAAGACCAAGATCCTAGTGAAAGGCTCATCTTCTTCACAGTAGCCAAGAAGGTTGACAAAGTTCTTGTGGTTTATCTTGGATAGCATTTCAATCTGAAATTATCAAAAAACATAAAAAGGGATAAGACGATGACCATTTTTAGAATATAGAAGAGAACTGGTTGATTGTCAATACCTTCTTTCTGAACTGCATTTCTATGTTATTAGTCCATTCTTTGGCAGAAGCAGTAGCAACAGAAGCCACAGCTATCTCCACTCCACTCGATAAAGTCCCTTTGAACAATGTACCAATAGGACAAGACCCAATGACATTACTGAAATCTTCACAGGCAGCTTCGATCTCAGATCTTTTCAGTTTTGGGACACCTGAGTAAAGACAATCAGACAAGAAGGTTAACTTCAATATTCCAGAAAAAAACAATGCCACTTCACATGATGTAACAAAGCAAGAAAAATAGTTACCAGTTATGAAAACTTTCTGAAGTTGTCCACTAAGACCTGTACTCCAAGGATTCACAGATTCACCAGCCTTACTTTTGAAAAAGAAGACACCAGTAGCTAAAAGAAGCAAAAACACAGCACCGCCAACACAGCCAGCCACAATAGGAACCATGCTGCTTGAAGAACTTCTTTTTACGCTAGGAGTATTTGAAAGGGACACAGAAGGAGGTGGAGCAGAAACATGCAGGGCAGGTGGACTTCTTCGTGGTGAATGCAATGTCGGAGTCTTACTGGTTCTACCTCTCTGAGAAGGAACAGAAGATGACGCTGGTGTAACAGCTGCCACAGGAGGACGATCCTTAAACGTATTCAAATGAGTGTAGGGGTTACGGTAACGACCAAGTAACTTCCTGTGGAAACTAACACCTCTCCTAGAAACAAGAAAAGACCAAAGGTAAAATAAAATGAGTTTAAGACAGTGGACATAGCAAAATGATTATGTCGATTAATATAAATTCACACAACAACTTTTTCTAGGATATAAGATTTAGAAAGAGTATAAAAACACTCTCAAACAATCAAAAAAGCATAGTGTTAAAGCCGTAGATCTACTATACCCAACTACATTGATGTTGATGCTCAACCAGAACTCATTTTTTTTCAACAACATGTTTTCAACTTCCACATTCAAATCAATCAAGTTGCAGGTTTCTATAGTCCTAAACTATGTATAATTAACTCTTCTTTTCTCAAACACACACCTCTACAAAAGAACTTGAACACGTGAAACATCTTAATAGTTAATCCAAGAGATTCAGCCACTAAACCAACTCTTATTACTTCAGTGACACACCAAAAACGCTTTATAACAACACACATAGCTAAACCAACTCTTAAACCCGTAGCTAATCCAAGAGATTTAGCCACTAAACCAACTCTTAATAGCCTAGTGACACATTTAGATCTTAAAACAAGCAGAAAATAAAGCACCAAAAAACGCTTCATCTCAAACAAACACATAGCAGTTAGGCAGTTACTAAAACAAGAGCGGATTCAGATTAAACTCAAGTGAAAAAGCAATAATCACATATTTCAAAAATAGCTGGCTGCGACTTACGAATCCAAGTCATCTCTATCATCAGTCCATAGATCTCTCGTCACACCTGAAACAAGAGAGAGAGAAAAAAAAAACAAGTTTATTTGACAGGTGGACAAAAATAGAAACTGAGAACCGATTGTTTACCTTCTTCGTTTTCAAACGAAAAACACGAATCGAAGCTCAAACTCGCTAGCAAAAACAGTAGAGTTCGCGCACAGAGCCTTAATCGAACAGATTTCCAGTTCGTACTCATCGTCAGAAGATGCCAAGTGGAAGATAACACGAAGTAAGTTAGCTGATGGAATCGAATCTCGATCTGAAGATGGAAGCTTAGCTACAAGACGAAAGAGAGAAAGAGAGAGAGCTTTAGAGGATGAGTTCGCATGGCTGAGGAACGAACCGATTTGAGAGATAGAGAGAGAGCAGAGCAAAACGACTTTTCAAGATTTTTATTTCTTTTTCTTTCTTCTCTACGAAAAAATTAAATTTACTTTTAAAGCGCGTGTCCCCGTGGTTTGGCCAGATAATAAATTACTTCCATAAAGTATGTGTAAGCAATAACTTCTTCTTGTTGACAAAAAAAAAACAATTTTCAATAAGAATAAAACCAATAGCTTTATTTTAATTATATTTAACGATAATAGAGAATGAGATTAGCATTTCTCGTTGTAAAGATTAATGTTTTGATTCGCGTCATTATCTTAAAACGTGTAGGATAATGACGGTTTATATTATTTTCAGTAGTTACACCGTTTTATTTTAGTTGTCATTCTAAGTTTTTACCCAGAAATGTAGAAAACATAATTTTATATATTTTCAAGATAAAAACACAATTACTTATATACTTAACCACTTTTCAACCAATAAAAAATATAATATTATATAAAACTAATAAATTTTGTCTTAAAATTCTAAAACGATATTTAATTTGTGACAAAAAAATTAAGTCTAAATTGATAAATATTCTAAAACCGAGTGAGTATAATAAAACAAACACAATATAACATGTAAAAAGAGGTATAGGAGAATCTATGGACCTTATAAAGATGGCAGAAGAGCTACAAAAGGATTCAAAAGAAGAGGCCAGAGCCACCCCCACCACCGTCGATTAAGACTTTTGCCGTTACTCTGTGGAAATGTTTTGTTGCTTTATTGTATCTGTGTGTGTGTGTTTTTGTATGTTGTTTTTGTTTACCAGAAAATGAGGAAATAACGAAAATGATGGTAGGGTCTACGTGCCACGTGGGTTTTTGTTTTGGTGTGTGAGGGGGTATTTGTATGATTGAAGTTGAATGAATGATTGTGGATTAATTATAGTATTTGAAAAAAAAATGTAAATAAGTACGTGGAGGAGTTTTTGACTAATTCAACGTGGAGGTTTTTGCTTCGCTGTTAGTTTCTTCGTTTTCAATCCAGCTTTGTTGCCATGTGGGTATAGTCATGGATGTAATGGGAATACCCCATTTTCTACGATATTTTAAAGCTTTTTCTAATACACAAAATAGTAGTAGTTTATATAAGTGTCCCATGATTGTTGTTATCAACACCGCCCACGTTTTGTGGTGTTTATCCTAATAAAATATAGAAAAAAAATTACACACAGTCTATCTAGCTATTTATCTATGATTTATATGCTTTTATCGCTTGATGTTGTTTAGAGTCTAATACGAACTAATGGATCCGGAACAACTTCTATGAAGAAAAAAAATCCGAACGAGTGGATAAGAACCAACTATACATAAACACTCTTTACCATATTCATCAATTTAATAAACTAAAATGTACATATTATTTGTTACAAGAAAAAAAACTGCATATTCCCTCCGTTTCAAAAAGTTAAACCTTTAAGTTTTTTCACACATATTAAAAAAAAAACATAAAATTTTGATTACCAATACATCATTTATTATAAATAATAAATTCCTATATTTTTTAACCAATACTATAATTTTAAGAAACACAACTAATTTTTTTGGAATCTACAATTTTTTATTAAATTATACATTAAAAATATAAAAATACATCTTTTTGAAATAAATATTATTTCTAGAATGTTCATCTTTTTGAAACGGAGGGAGTATGTGGGAGTATGTTTAATAAACTAAAATGTACATATTAATTGTTACAAGAAAAAAAAAATGCATATGTTCATGCAAAGAATTTTACCATGTTAACATTCATCAGTATACTACTACTGTATTTGATGCATCCAGTGCCACTACGTTTCATGCACATGCTTGTTCGAAAGTGTGCATCAAAGAGGACCCAAAAAAGGCTCCAAATATAATGACTTTGATCATATATGACCATCTACTTGTAAGTGTATACGAAAAAGTAAAAACCAAATAAAGAAAACCAATTTTTGGAATAAATTTAAATATAACAAGTGGTAGTATATAAGGTTGACTTAAACGGTTTCGCCGTAATATGAAAGCCATCGGGATTGATTGGGTGAAGAGAGACCAAATCATAACACTATTTTAATGTTTCGCAGTGCACCGCCATGTCCTGGCAATCTAACTTCATTCTTACGTAATTATGGTCTCTTTACGTTCACATGTTGACCTAATTCGTGATTCCCTTTGACCTTTATACTTCTGTTTAACTTTTGTTTTGTTTATTAAAAAAGGAACAAGAGAGTATGTTCGCTTCCATGTGAATATTGCGCATAGGACATGAACTTTCAGAGTGATTGCTTTAGAAACTTTTTAAAAAGGCCATGCATTCATTTATTTTGTCACTGGCTTATTAAATGCTTTCAAACCATGCATATGGGAGCTCTGAATGGTCTAGGATCATTAACCATTGTCGTAAATATATATATTTGATACTATATAGTAAAATATGTTTTGGACCATAATAAAGTTTGTTACAAAGATCTGAAAACATTGAATAATTCTTTAAAAAAATATAAACTATTGAAGTTGCAGTCACACGTTAGCTTACATATACATGTTATGTTGTTTTTCAATTACATCAGATCTTATTTGTTTCCTATGTACTTATAGAATTAAAATTTGGTATGCATTCTTTCAATACCTAATATATATTATTATTAGATTTCTAAGATCACATATAACCAAATTATAGCCCTTACATAGTACTAGTATGTTACTGAAAACAAAACAATCAGCAATGTCAGGTCATTGCCTAGTCATATTAAAAGTTTTAGTGTTTAATAGCATCAATATTCACTCGTGTTCCTGAACAAAATAACTTAGCATCTTAAGGTTTTAATGTTTTTCTTATATAAACACTACATGACGTACAACTGTACAAGAGAAAACTACATGATGCAAGGTAGGCCTGGCATCCAGGTCCTCGGTCGGGTTCGGATCTTTCGGGTCTTGAAAATTTAGATCCATGTGGATACCTATGATTTTTCGGGTTGGTTTCGGGTCGGGTCTTGTCGGGTCCGGGTCGGTTCGGATCTATAATTTCAATACCTATAAAATACCCGTAATTTTCGGATCCATATCGGGTCCGGGTATTTAGATTTTAAAAATACATAACATGCCCAAAGTCACTCAAATTCAGTCAATATTTTTCATATATATCTAAAATTTTATAAAATAACTTAAATTAAACTATTAATAATTAAAGAAAACATTTTTCAACTCTAAATTTTACATTTTAAAACTTTATATTACTTCAAAATGCTACAAATAATAATAAATATTGTTAACAAAAGATATTTCAACTAAATTATAAAATAGTATAGATATATAAAACATTATACAAAAATAATAGTTTTGGATGTACATATTTATAAGTCGGGTACAAATCGGTTCTTACCGGGTCGGGTCTATTCGGATCGGTTCTTTTCGGATCCAGGTCTATTCGGTTCTGGTCTTTTTAGGTCCGGGTCTATGCGGGTAAAAGAAATTTAGACCCAATAGGTACTTATAAATTTTCGGATCGGGTTCAGGTCAGGTATTTTCGGGTCGGTTCCGGTTTGGGTTTTCGGGTCCGGATAAAATGCCCAGGCCTATTGCAAGGAACAGTCTCCAGTAACAAGACTTTTAGCATATTTAAATTATCATTGTTCTTCTTTAGTTTCCTCATAATCCGCCCTCTCTCGAAGAATCTTCTGCCCCATATACCTACACATTTAACCCTCCAAGAACTATATAATGTTAATATTTAACCTACAAATGTGTGGATCATTTATGCGCAAGGGTTAACCTTCTTAGCATCATGAATCATGATAATGGCTTGAGGATTAGTCCCCGGTGTCTTGAGAAATGTGGATGCATGAGAATACAAGCGAATGCTTAATCTATTAAATTTGGTTGGAATGGTAACGAAATAGCGACAACAGTAAAAGAACTAAGAACTAAAACAATGGGGAGCTAAACAATTTTGATATCAATAATAAGAGAGAACCCATGGGTATAAGGCAATCGAGCTAAGATAACTAGCTTCCGAGTCAAGGTGTTATTCAAACAATCAGTAAGTTCTATAGCTCTAGATCTCAGTCAGATAGATTAATCCACTTCTGTGACAGAAATCTCTATGCTAATCATGAATTAAACATCAACCTCCGTTGGCTTAATACAATCTAGCATGCATGAATTACAAGTCTATTTTTAATAGAAAGTCTTGGCATGCTTATCTATTGATAATAGCAATTCCAATTAATGTCAAATGTTGTGAATCTCATCTAAGTGACAGGTTATGTATTTCTATTGCATAGAAAATTAGATTTTAAATGATACTTAAGATGTCTATTAAAACTCTTTTTTGAAATGATGTGTTTATTCAAATATATAATGTAAATTTATCATTTAAAATAGTTACATATAATTGGATATTTGTGACAATAACTAACTTTATTTTGAAAAATTGTAACTATTCACTATCTTTAATTTGAAAGACTATTCATAAAAATAACTAAATTTAACTTGAAAAATGTGTCTATTCACGATAAATTATTTGAAAAGTTACTAGATATATTTTTTTTTATGAAAAGCTACCATTTAAATTGTTCAAGGATGACAAATGAATGAATGATCATTAATTTCTTAATTATTTTTTAAGCAATTATGGTTTATGGAATAATTAAAATAATTATTTAATAACTAATTATATAGTTCAGTGTTCCATATATTTTTAGATATCCATGTAGTTAAATAATATAATAAAATATCAATATTAATACGGAAAAAATTCATAATTCATGGGAAACCAAAAACAGTTAAAATATGTGTTTTATATCCCTAAGAATTTAAAGATATATTTTTCTAATGATATATCTTTACATCCTAGAAATGAAATGGTTTATAAGAAATTGTAAGAATATGTAAAGAGTGTTTTTCATTATAAAAATTCCAGAAATTTGAAGAGGTTGTGAAAGTGTCTAAAGTATATCTTTTCATTCTAAAATTTGTTAATTTTTAAATGAATTGTCTTTTAGTTATTTTGCATATCTAATTTGTATGCATTTTAAAAAAATCTTAAAAATTATCTTAAAAGATTGAGGTAATTTGGTATGTTTAGTAGTTTAGTTATTTATAATATTATACTAACTTTATGGTTTTATTATTATTATTATTTTAACAAATTCTATATATTTTTAATTCTGATGTGGTTTCAAATCAAATATTTGTATTATTTTGATAATATTATTTAGCAGTAGATAAGCACCAGCAAAATGTAAACCATGATTTTTTTTTTAATATATATGGGCACTTTTTTAATATATGCCTGATTTTGATATATGTATTATTTATTTAGTAAATATCTAATTGTACTTAAATGGAGAATGATTGTTGGAAATTTAAGTAAATCTTTGTAACCTTTTAAATGAACTCTTGAAAATTTCTGGATGAATTGTTAAAACTGATTAAAATAAAACTTTGGAACTTTTGGTTATCAACCATTAATTTTCTTGATGATAAACCCTTGCAATATGTAAGGATGAATTATTGTAATTGTTAGTGATTGTAGCATTTGATGATGAATCATTATAATTTTTATGGAATGCTATACCAAAACATACTTCTTCAGAATCTGTAAATTCTTTGGAAAAGTATAATTTAGATATTTTAAATAACACTAAAGAGGCCAAATTTACAAGTATCATTTATTGGAAAAACCTGTTAAGGTACTTTCTTAGAAAACATCAATGAGGTTAAACTTTAGTATATATAGCATTTATTGAAAAAAATTGATTGTTCGTAAGATAAATTAGAAAATATGGTATTTTGTTTTAATACATAACTTCATCATGTACTGACATGTGATAAAACTTTTAGAGGTCTGAGACCTTATTTGTCCCCATTTCTATAGAAACTACATATTTTATAAGGTTAATCCACTGAATTAGGTGAAATATGAAATTTTATCACCTAGTTAATTAGGTATTATTTTTTTTTTGTTCAAAAATTAGGTATTATTAAACATGACTAAAGAGGCTAAATTTTATAAATGAAATTTATAAGAAATTTCATTTTTTCGTAGGGTAACCCCTACGATAAATTAGATAAATTCTGATATTTTTGTTTAATTCATATCTGGACATGCACTGACATAGTAGGAAGATTAAAGAAGTTTAAGACCTTAGTTGTTCATGTTCTTTAGAAAATAGAGATTTTATAGAGGTTAATTCATTAATTAGGACGTATCAGAATTTTAAAAAATATTACACATTAGAAAATTAGAACTAATACCCATGTATCACGAAACTATGTTTAGAATACATTAATATACATTAGAGCGTGGTTAGGTAACTAATAAAAGATTAATGAAGCTAAACTTTAGTATATATAACATTTATTTCACCTAATCCAATGAATTAGGTGAAATATGAAATTTTATCACCTAGTTAGGTATTATTAAACATGACTAAAGAGGCTAAATATTATAAATGAAATTTATAAGAAATTTCATTTTTTCGTAGGGTAAACCCCTACGATAAATTAGATAAATTAGATAAATTCTGATATTTTTGTTTAATTCATATCTGGACATGCATTGACATAGTATGGAGATTAAAGAGGTTTAAGACCTTAGTTGTTCATGTTCTCTAGAAAATAGAGATTTTATAGAGGTTAATTCATTAATTAGGATGTATCAGAATTTATAAAAAATATTACACATTAGAAAATTAGAACTAAAACCCATGTATCACAAAACTATGTTTAGAATACATTAATATACATTAGAGTGTGGTTAGGTAACTAAAAAAGCATTAATGAAACTAAACTTTAGTATATATAACATTTATTGGAAAAATACTCGAGCTTATCGTAAGATAAATTAGAGAATAAAGTATTTTTTTTAATGCATAACTTCATCATACACTAACATGTGATGAAAATTAAAGAGGTCAGAGATCTTATTTGTTCCCGTTCTCCAGAACTTACTGATTTTATAGCGATTAGTCCACTAAATTATGTGGAATATGAAGGTTTATTAAATTACTCATTAAAATATTATAAATGTTGTATGTGTACCATGAAAATAAGATTACCATACATTAATATAAATGTATAATGTGATTTAGGGTTAGTCAAGTGAATTAGGTGGAATATGAAGGTTTATTAAATTACTAATTAAAATATTAGAAATGTTGTATGTGTACCATGAAAATAAGATTACCATATATTTATAGAAATGTATAATGTGATTAGGTACTTTTTTAATCAACAAGAAACAGTTTAAACTTCAGTATATATCACTTATCAGAAAATTTAATCTTTTTGTAGGGGTTAACCCACATATTTCAAGATAATAAAAAAATATGGTATTCTTCTTTTAATTCCTAGATGCATCCAACACAAATATATGATGAATATCAAGGATGTATGACACCTTTGTTGTCCCAATTACTCTAGAAAATAGAGATTTCATAGGGTTTAATTCTTTGATTTACATGATGTGTGAAATTTTATTAAACTACTCGTTAGATAATTTTAACTGTTTTACATGTACCATGATAATAAATTTAGAATATATTAATATAAATGTTTAATATGGTTAGATATTTTAAACAACACCAAAGAAGCTCAACTAAGTACAAATAACATTTATCGGAAAAACTCGATCTTTTCGTAGGGTTAACCCACATATTTCAAAATAAATTAGATAATGTAGAATTTTTGTATTTGTGCATAGATGCATCTAGCACTGATACATGATGAATATCAAAGAGTTTTGATATCTCACTGACATAATATAAAGATTAAAGAGTTTTTGAGATCTTAAGTGTTCCAATTTTTTTAGAAAATAGAGATTTTATAGAGGTTAGTACACTAATTAGGTCGTATATGAAGTTTAAAAAACTAATTAGGTAGTATATGAAGTTCTCATAATATAATCAGTGTTCAAAAGAATTTTCAATTTGGATGTCTAATTTTATGGATACTGAAACTATTGTTTGGGTTTATTTATTACTATTTTTTTTATCAACTGTTGGAAGTCAATGGATTTAGTTAACACAATCAAGCAAGAGTAGACATGTTTGTTACAATCTCAATGCCTTATTAATCGTGAAGAAAAAGATTTGCAGAGAATATGTAACAAAGAGCTTGGAAGATATCACTCTTAGGCTGTGTGGAACATGATGAATCCGGTTCAGTGGTAGGAGCATTTGCAAAGAAGAGGGATGCTTGTTGTTGACAAGAGATGATATGGGAAGCACTGCAGAATTGTCTTGGTAGCGTATGAAGAGAGTACAGAGAAGCCTTCTCTTTCACAAATACAATTTTTATTGCTGCTGCTCTGCCTGGTTGAAAACTAAAATATTTGATTGATCTTTAAGCAACAACTAGTAACTCTAATACTAATTGTTGAGTACTCGGCTCATTCTTGTAACAGATTACAATTATCATCATCAAGTCCTTTCTTGCTCAGATTTGAGGGAATTTTAAGACGATGGATTATCTGTACTAAACTCCACAATTTGAACAAGAAATATTATACACACATACCAAGATAAAATGATTTAATGTCAAAAACCAAAAAGAGCCTTGGAATCGCAACAGAGATAAACCAAGCACATGACAAATTAATGATCAAGCAGTTCACAATCAGATTTTACATCGTAACTTTTTGTGTTCAAATGCTAAGAGTATGAAATTTAAAACTCAAAGTTCTAAAGCATTAAAAATTTACTCTCAACTCTCAAGTCTCGTTGATCCAAGTCTTGTTCCAAGCTACACTCTGCAACAAACAACCTGTGTTACGAAATTGTGACTAAATTTAAAAAGTAATCCAAATAAACAAACTCAGTAGCATCACATGAAGCAACTACTTTTGCCAATAAGGAAAACAGAAACCAACAAAGATATGATCAAACATATATATTGTAATCTGTTTTACTACATCATTCATTACCGTACCGTTTACGATCTATAATAAATCTGATCTCATGGATCCGCTAATATCCCAGAGAACAAGACAAGAACATGGAACATTCCCGGTAAGCTAGGCTCTATATAGACAAAGATCACCTCAGAGACTCTCCACAACAGCAAGTTCTATAAAATGTAAAACAGGATCTCTATCACACCTCTAAGAAGTCCATCAGTGTCACACAAGAGCTCAAACGAGCTATAAGACCCAACTCGAGCTAAACAAAGCATCATCAATCAAGACTCCATCAGTGACACAATCAGTACAAAGCATCAACTTGAGCTAAACAACTCATACGCACGCAAGCTATAGTCTATAGTTCCAACATAAACTCACAAGAACCACATATCATATGCTTCAATCTTCAACTCCTGATTATTGATATGAATAACATTTCTGAATATTCTAGCTACACGACATAGAATGTGTAACGAATATCAAGTACACCATCACTCTTATTCACAAAGTAACAAACAAAGATCAAAGTTATACGTGAATGCCAGATCTTCTCACATACGAAAGCACGCATAACTAGCTATAATGCATTTACAAAGTAAGGAATGGAGTACACATTGAAACAGCTACACACCAAGAAGACTAGGAAACAGAAGCACACAGAACGATACAGACTCCAAAGCACACAGAACGAGCTACAATGCGTATGATAGAGATGCAGTAAAACGAATTATAGTAAACAAGCCAAAACAAAGTAAAAAAATTTCTTCAGAGATCAAAAACAGTAAGTAATTTTACATGAAACAAGCCTCAAATAAAAACAATATACAAAACAAGAGATCACATTTCAAATACTTTCCAAAGTGTTTCAAACACTTTCCAACATCTAAGCAAGCAAGTCAGACCTAGAAACAAGAGATCACATTTCTTTTTTGATATGAGACCCAGAAGATCAGACCCACGATTCCATTCTTCTCCGTTTAGGTTCTGAATGGACTTTGATCTATGTTGTTGGCTTTTGAAAGTTGAAACGGAGAAAGAAAGAAAAACGAAAGTTAACCGATACCTCACGGTTCCCTCTTCATATTGTTCTGTGACGTGGAAGCCTTTGAACCGTGCTTGAGCCAATCCTTGGCGCAGAAGAGAGCTTCCAAGGTCACATGTCCAAGGGAGCTCCTGTAGTTGTCCATCTTTTTCACCTCAGTGTCAAAAACAAAATCAGGAGAGACGGTGCAAAATGGTAAGGACAAGACATCAGCTGCCATCTTAGAGAGAGTAGGGTACTTGGTTCGGTTCAGGCTCCACCAGCTCAAAACCTCAAAGTCTGGAGATCGCGGTATCAGAGATTCCTCCAGGTATTGGTCGAGCTCCGATTTCATCTGCTCGCGACTCCCAACCTCAGAGATGTAAAGCTCAAAGTCTGAGAATCCATCTCCAATGGTGATGAGGGGAAACTCCTGCGAAGATGCTTCAAGGTGATGGCCTTCCTGGAGAAGGACGTCAACGTGGTGACCTTCTTGAGAGATTGTAAACGCAGCTTCTTCCTGCGGCATTGCATGTGACTGAGAATCACCGTTCTGTGGATTTTTGCTGTGCTCGGGAATGGGCTCCACTGCTTGTGCCTCATGTGCCAATTCCTCAACTGGCTGAGTATGCTCTAGTATTTCCTCTACTGGCTGCGTCTCATGTTCTGCTTCTTCAACAGGCTGAATGTCATCATGCTTTTCCTCAACTGGTTCTGTGTCCTCGACCATTTCCTCCACTGGTTGTGTCTCATGTCCTACTTCCTTAACCGTCTGAATGTCACTGTCACCAATGTTCTCTTCATCCAGTTGTGCCTCCTGAACCACTTGCTCAACTTGTTCAGTGTTCTCGACCATTTCTTCAATTAGTTGTGTCTCATGTCCTACTTCCTTAACAGTCTGAATGTCACTGTCACCAATGTTCTCTTCATCAGGTTGGGCCTCCTGAACCACTTGCTCAACTTGTTCAGTGTTCTCGACCATTTCATCAATCTGTTGTGTCTCATGTCCAACTTCCTTAACAGTCTGAATGTCACTGTCACCAATGTTCTCCTCATCCAGTTGTGCCTCCTGAACCACTTGTTCAACTTGTTCAGTGTTCTCGACCATTTCCTCAATCGGTTGTGTCTCATGTCCTACTTCCTTAACAGTCTGAATGTCACCAATGTTCTCTTCATCCAGTTGTGCCTCCTGAACCACTTGTTCAGTGTTCTCAACCATTTCCTCAATCAGTTGTGTCTCATGTCCTACTTCCTCAACAAGCTGGGTGTCATTGTCAGCATGCTTCTCCTCCACCAATTGTGCCTCCTGAGCCAGTTCTCCCACTGATTGAGTGTCCTGGAGCATTTCCTCCACCGGCTGCGTTTCCTGTGTCATATCTGTATCCTCCACTTGTTGGTTTTTCAGCGGCAGTTCCTCAGTGGGATGGCTCTCACATGGAAGTTCCTCAACCAGCTGGGTCTCCTCTGTCTGAGCAGCTTCTTGAGACTCATGATCATTCAAAGCATGGTCTTTTGGCTTTTCATTCGGCAGATTGCCATCTCTAGGCTGTTCATATATTTGATCATGTGAAAGCTCGTTTGAATGGTTGTATTCAGGATGAAAGTGAACTTGACCCATATCTGTTTCAGAAAAGCCATCATTCCCGTGGCCCACATAAGCTTCCAACAGTGAGTGACTCTTTTCAGCATAGTCATGGTACAGATCATGTACAGCATCATCGACACTCCTGATCCATTTCTCTGCATCTTCCCCATACGCCTTAGAGAAACTAAACTCAATAAGCTTCATCTTGAAGCGCGGATCCATCACAACAGCAACTGCCAGTAGCAGGAAACATCCTCTCCAGTACTCATCAAACTTCTCTCTTAGTGGGGTCGCCATGTTTCTAACATCTGGCTCTTCACTCATGGCTGCGTGGCTCAGCTCAAGCTGAAGCTTCGTCATCTCATGGTACAAATCGTTTGCTGTCATTCGGGCAGGACCAGTCAGAACATTAGCCGCGTCAAAAAGAATCTTCAAGCACGAGCAAAGGACCTCAACCTGTCTCCATTCTTCAGGAGATGTTGAAATTTTATATTCAAGATCACAGTTCCCCAGACAAGAAAACACTTCTTTGTGTTCAGAGGCAGCCAATAACATACTGTAAGTCGTGTCCCATTTCGTCTGGTCGTCAATGCGGAGATCTCTCGTAGAATGGGTTTGAAGTTGTGTCTTCAATTCATCAAACCTCTCTGAGCAACTGTCTTTGGTTTTCACATGCTTCACGCTATCACGAACCTTTTTAATAACAGTTTGAAGATCCTCAGCCCCAAGTACATCTTGCGCCATACTACTCAAGAGGCGAGCATAGCAATTCCCCAGTAACAGCTGACCATTCATTACATGCTGGTTCTTGGCAGACAAACAACATCTTAGGTTTTCAATAGAGACTTTATTCACTACTGATTGCCCAACAGTGATGCTACAGAGCATCCTCTCGAGATTCCAGTCGGATAAACAAGCTGCAATAGGTTGGTTCAAAGCAAAATCTGAATCAGGGGAAGGAACAAGAGCCACATTCAGAAGCCTGTGAGTTAGATTCCAATCCTTATCAATGAAGTGTCCCGTCACAAACGCATATCCAACAGATTGATTTGATGTCCACAAATCTATAGTGAGATTCACCTGACCAGGAATCTCACTGATAAAGGCTGAAAGTTTCTGCTTCTCAGACAAGTACATAGCTACACAATCAGCATGAATGGCATGAAAGCTTGGCATACTAAGCTGAGGACGAAGAGCATTGACAAAACCAGTAAACCCACAATGCTCAACCATGTGAAGAGGATACTCATGCATGATCATCATCTTTGCCATCTCACTATAGCAACGATCTTGATCCAGAGGTGTAGCAGCAGCTGCAGAAGCCCTCTGGCGTTTTCTAGGAGCATCTTTGGTCTCAGAGACTTGTGTGAGTTGAGGGTGAGTCTCTGGGCTCATAGGGCATATACCCAACTGAATGTGACGCTTGAGGTGGCTTGTTCCAGCTAGCTTTTGGCCAGTGATGTAGGCAAATGATTTTCTGCAGTGTTTACAACAAGCCTTGGAAGAGCCAGGGCTAGTGGTTTCAATGGTGAAGTGTTCCCAGACCATAGACTTCTTCCTCCTGCGGCGTATACCAGGCTGAGGAGGTAGCAAGCCATCATCTGTATCAAGATCAGTGGGTGGCTTTGTTGGGGTGACCAATGCCATGGAATTGTTTTGGGATGTGGTGTCAACATCCATATGGGATTGGTCATCAATTTCAAAAGAACCATTGTTATCAATAAGCATTAAAGAAGTATTGTTATCCATAAAATTCCTGCAACCAGACAACAAACTGAATGTTAGAAAGACAATTTGAAGAACACAAAAAACAAATCAGACAACAAACTGAATGTTAGAAGACAATTTGAAGAACACACAAAACAAATCAGACAACAAACTGAATGTTAGAAAGACAATTTGAAGAACACAAAAAACAAATCAGACAACAAACTGAATGTTAGAAAGACAATTTGAAGAACACACAAAACAAATCAGCCAACAAACTGAATGTTAGAAAGACAATTTGAAGAACACAAAAAAAAAAACAAATCAGACAACAAACTGAATGTTAGAAAGACAATTTGAAGAACACACAAAAAAAACAAATCAGACAACAAACTGAATGTTAGAAAGACAATTTGAAGAACACACAAAACAAATCAGACAAAAAGAAAGAACACAATAAGGATATTGATAAGACAAGAAACTGAAGAGAGAAAAAAAAGAAAACAAACTGAATGTCAGTAAGACAATTTGAAGAACACAAAAAAAAAAACAAATTCAGACAAAAAGAAAGAACACAATAAGAATTATCTTGATTTCTTGCTCAGAAGAAATTTTGAAAGAACACAAAAAACAAATCAGACAAAAAGAAAGATAATCAGCAGCTCCAAGATCTTAAAAACTATCATCACTGTAAATAAGTAAAGATCGACAAGAGCCTAAATCACTTGAAAAACACTGTAGATTGAGTAAGAATAGAGATCACAAAGCTGAGATCTAAAGATGGAACAACGTAGAGAGAGAGAGAGACTTACGGAGTGTAGCGTGAGGAAGGAGACGCGCGAATCAGAGGCGAAAGATTTAAAACATAGAAAGGCAACGAGGGGGTAGGTAATGGGCTTTGGATGAACTTTCGGCTCTGAGCTCTCTGAATCGAAATTGAGAGGCTGGACTTTACAGCCGCTAGGGTTTTGAGCTTTTTTTTTTTGTTTTTTCTTTTTTTTTTTCTCTCGGCCTTTTCTTTAGTATTATTGGTTAAGGAATTCAATAATTGCAGTTGGAAGTATTTTGGTGGATTTTATTAATTGGACGTTTTGAAAGATCCGATGGATTTTCTGATATTGATTTTATTTTACAAATATGAACTCTCTACATTAATACTCAATAAATTAATAATCTGTATAAATTAATAAATTTCATATGTTTTAATTTAAACTAGTGTAAAATATGACATAAATCGATAAAACCACATTTAAATTATATACAATATATATGCACAACAAATAATATAATAAAACTAATATAAATGTTCAATTTTTTTTTAAAAAAATCATAATTAATATCTATACACTAAAGTAAAATATGTTTCTTATCTTAGAATAAATATAGCTTAAAATAAAATAAAAAAACTATTAAGAACATTTTTATAAATTAATAAAATTTCAAAGTCACAACCTTATTAATTTATAAAGGTTCTAGTGTATTTTGATTTTTTGGATGGATTTAATTGGAAATACTGTATGAAAATTACATATTTTGTTTATAATTTTGAATAAGAACCATAAATATTTAAAATAGCCTTTTTAACTTTAAATAGTTTAGAAATTAAAAACTTGATATTATATAATAATCTGGGAAGATTTTGAGATATAGTGATAATTCATCTGACCAAAAATATTTTATTAAAAACATAGTTTAGAAATCTTTTAAAAGTATTATTTTCATTGATTTTAAATAACTTTAATACATACCTATTTTAATTAAATTTGATTAATTAATTATATACAAGAAAGAAATTATTTAAAAAATTTTGAACAGCATAATGTCGTTATTTTAGACAGATATACTTAATATTAATGTGAGAGATTCAATATTCAGTACAAATAAAAAGTTTTTATTTGTATACAATTTGTTATAACTTTATTATCGTCAACTGTAAAGTTTATAATACCAAAAATACATATCATTAATTTTAAAACAGTTTTTTTCTTAATTTGTATTTTTGTTATATTTTCCATATTTGATTTTATCAATTGTAGAGCTGATCATTTTTATTGATATTTTTACTCAATTTAACTCAATATTTTAAAAACACATAAAGTTAATTAGTTCACATTTATAATAATATGTAAAATATATATATATATATCTCGACAAACAAATAAAAATTAAGTACATAAGAATATAAAAGAATCAAGAATACAAAAAACATATTTTATTATTCTTTTCTCTTGTTTTTTTTATTTATGTCTCTTTTCTTTTTTCCAGGTATAACATAAGCATGCAAATTTATTATAATCAAAACTATATATTAATTATATTAATAGAGTATTAATTTGCGTATTAATAGAAAGTTCCACTTTTAACTTTATATAATAATATATTTTGATTAATCTAATTTTAAATGATTTACCATGTAATTCTTATGATTGTATAAGTACAAAAACTTTAATCATTTCTAATAGTGATAACTCAGTTATAATATTACATTGTCATTGAAAAATGACTGAATTTTTTAAGCTATATATAGTGAATGAGTTTAATTACTATTATTAGGTTTAAATTAATTAATTTTCTGCAATCTGTGAGCTAATTAAATTTATGTGTTGAAAGATTGAGTTAAATTGAATAGAGAAAATCAATGAAAATGACTAGTTCTGCAATTGATAAGGTCGAATATGGAAAATATAATGTAAATATAAATTTAGAATATATATGACGTCCCCGCATCTCCATAATCTCCATTTTGATGCCAAAAAAAAATATATATGACGTGAGTGAGTTTAATTAATATTATTAGGTTTAAATAATTAGTTTTGAAATCTATGATTTAGTATAGCTACTACTAATTAAGTATATTTAAAATCGTTTATGTAATTATTTATGTAGTATCATATGTATTTATATGTATATTATCAATTTATATAGTTTAATCTATAATATAATTTTGTTATAAAAAATTATGTTAATTCATCTATTATTTAAAAAAATTAATTGTTTGCTCGAAAACATCGATTAGATTACGTAATTCTAGCATTAGTTTCTTTTTAAAAATTTTAATTAAATAAAGAAAATAAAAAAATTATCAGCAAATCAAATTATAAAATTTAATTAGAGAATTCTCCTATAAGTGACATATTAGCAAAAGTCATTTAATATTAAAAATTAATATTCAAATAAATTAATCTTCAAAGTATCTCCAGTCATCATACTATTTTATCAAACACTAATTCATCTGACCAACTTTTTTTTTATTAAAATAAACATAGTTTAGATTTCTAAGATCACATATAACTAAAGTATAGCCAATACATAGTAGTATGTTAATGAAAACGAAGCAATCAGCAATGTTAGGTCATTTCCTAGTCATATTAAAAAAATTAGTGATTATTAACATCAATATTCACTCGTGTTCCTGAACAAAATAACTTGTTATATTTATCATCTGCCGTAACAAAATAGTATCTTAAGGTTTTAATGTTTTCCATATATAAATACTACATCACGTACAAGAGAAAACTCACTTGCAATATGTAATCTTGCAAGGAACAGACTCCAGTAACAAGACTTTTGAGCATATTTAAATTATTATAGTTCTTCTTTAGTTTCCTGATAATCCGCCCTCTCTCGAAGAATCTTCTGCCCCATATACCTACACATTTAACCCTCCAAGAATTATATAATGTTACTATTTAACAACATGTGTGGGATCATTTATGCGTGAGGGTTTACCTTCCTAGCATCATGATAGTGGCTTGAGGATTAGTCCCCGGGGTCTTAAGAAATGTGGATGCATCGACGACTCTCAAAGCATCAATCCCTAATACTTTGTAATCATTGTCGACCACTTTTCCAACTTGACAACCTCCATGGTAATGATAAATAGTCATCACCGTATCTTTACAATATTGCTTCAAATCGAACAATGAGTTTACGTGCCTTGGCCTCAGATTGATGGGTAAGGCAAGGATGAGATCCAACAATGCACGCCCTGTCACTCCAGGGAACTTGTACTTGAAATATTTCTCCGAATTTATCACTTTAATTATAGCACTAAGTCCTTCAACACAATTATTCAAATCCTCTGGATCTTGGTAGTAGTTGAATGTCACTGAAGGGTTATCATCTGGATTCGTGTTCCGCAGCTCCAAGTGACCTCTCGAGATCGGTCCATACACTTTCTGAATCATCCCACCTGCTTGTGTTGTAATGTTGAATCGAAAATCCAATAACTTGAAAAAGTTTGAGAGGGTTTTGGTGGGAAGTTTTATCTGCATATATAAAGCACCACACTAGCAAAATTGTATAATGTTATAAAATTTAAATTAACGTTAGTAGATAATGTACCTCATTGAGAAGATTTATAACTCCATCGAAGAAGCGATGCGTCAAACTAATAGAAAGACTTAACCCACTCAAACCTTCAATGTAGCTACCAAAATGTGGAATTCCAGCGACTTGGACAAGAGACACTTCTACGGGTTCAGGAGAAGGGATGATGACGGCGTTCATCGGATTATCACCCATTCCTTGTCCCACCATGGGGTGATCTAAGATGACCGGATTCACCCCATGGTCTGCCAGATGGGTCGCAGGGCCAACACCGCTCAACAACAGTAGCTGCGGGCTCGCGATGGCACCAGCTGATAAGATCACTTCATTATGTGCGTTATGCCCCGCTAGTTTTGCTGTGTGGAACACTCCTTTCGCATCCTGGAATATCACCCCATTTGCCTTGGGCCTCATAGTTCCTGTAAATAAACAAAATCTTATCCGAAGTGTAGGAAAGTAATGTGTATGATGAACAACGGATGACAACTGCCATAATGATCACCATAATTATATCATACATGCAGAGTCGTGCAATAATTATTGATGCCCTAAGCATCCAAGAGATTATGTTAATAAAATTATTTAATGATGAAATAATATTAACTCATCAGTTTTGGTAGAAACTATACAAGTTTTGGTACCGTTTATGTTTAATTTATAAATTTCAAAACTGAAACATACAAAAAGATTTGAATAATTGTGTTGAAGACTTATTCTTGAAAGAGATATCTCTTCCACACCTTACGGTCATGCCATCTCCTTCTTCGTCATAATTTTGTATAAGACTAGTCGTGGAGTTTCTAGACCAAATCCTACTTTTTCAAATTGAACTAACAACTTTCCATATCTCTCCCAAATAGGAATCGATTAAGGAAGCTCAAAGAAACATAGAAATTTTTTTGTTTCTCTTCCAAAGAAGCATCAAACTGAACTCTCAACTCAAGGAGCATTTGGTAGGGGCCTGGAAGCTCACAACTAGTCCAAGATCCACTAGGTTCATCAATCTTAAATTTCTTTTATTGGACAACCTAAGTTAGACCTCCCATAACTATTGATAATGTAACTTAAATCTCAATGAACCAATAAATTGATACATTTGTTGGACTGGACATTATATCTTTTAGGATTAGATACCGCGTTTAGTAGAAAAAGAAGTTTTCCTAAGGAAAAGAATATCCGATTTAGAAGCTGGTCACTTGGTTCAATCTTAAACTTATAGTGGAAAATAACTTAAAGACATTTAATAACTATTAGTGAAAAAGAAAAATACTATTAGTCACATTACCTGTGGTGGTGAAGAGGATCTTATGAGCAGAAGCATGTAAATAGACAGTAATCTTTTTCGGATCAGCATACTCCAATAGATTCGCTGCCGTGTGTCTCCGACCATCCGTATCAAATATCGTACCACCAACTTTGGTCCCATGAACATGTTCGTACGTGAAACCATTGTATGGAGTCACTCCAGCCTCCAAAAGACCATCTATAAACGCACTTTGCCATCCCTTAATCTGTGGTTCGAACACCAACTTCTTCTCCACCCACTCGTAAGCAGCTTCGACCTCTTCTCTGTCCCAACCAGACTCCGCCACGTAATCATCTTCCGCACGTGAGTAGAATCCAGCGTTTATCACCGTTCCTCCTCCGAGCACGCGTGCGCGTGCGTTGAAAACGCCGTCTTCGGAGATGAATAGCTGAGACCACGAGTTTGGAGTTGTGTTCAAGAATGTGTTCAAGAAGTTTCCTATGTCCGTGGCCGTGGGGTTGTCGTAAGGGGACCCACCGCGTTCGAGAAGTAAAACGGAGGCGTTTTGAGATAGCGTTGCGGCTAGTGCACATCCTGCGGTTCCTCCTCCGATGACTATGTAGTCGAAGTGTGATAAGGTTGGTGCTGATGTTGCATCTTTTAAAAAACTATAATAACCAGCTTCACAGATAACAAAAATTTCATGAAAAAGTTGGAATAACTATATGCTAATAATAACCTAAAATTTCAAATGATTAGGTAATTATTGTACCTTTATCAGAATAACATGAGCCTTGGAAGATGAAAACGGCGACGCTAATAAAACGAAATAATCGGAATATATTAAAATCCATTCTGGTGTAAGATTATATATGTACTTATAAATTTCTTTTTCTAGTTTCTGCGTATATCTTTTTGGGGTTAAAAAGGACTAGTCATGCGATTATATAATGGTGAAGTATATATCATCAAGGTCACGGTAAAGTCTTATTCGATGGTGGTTTTGGCGTCTTCTAATAATTAAAGGTTTTATTTCTGACGCAATTAATTTGGTCCATGTACACAACTATGTTCCGTAGATTTGTTTGGTAAGTAATTTCCACGTTAATTTTTTTTGGCTAGTAATATATGGTCAATGTAGATCTGATATGGATCTAGCTTTTCAATTTAGGGTCGATTCAGATTTCAAGAATATTGATTTTGTGCAAAAACTCGAAGACGTGTTCTGACTTGTGTTTGAAATAATTACGTTATGTTCAATTGGATTACTAGGTGGTTTCCTGCACCATGTGTAGAAATAAAAATTTTTAAAATAAATTTGTATTTAAAAATAAAATTTAATTAATTTTTAAATTTATTATTTTATTCTATCATTGATTTTACATTAATTATATGTAAAAATTAAGAGAAAATAAACAGTTTTATTTAAATATGCGACAGTTCTCTCAAATAGAACTTTTTTAAGTTTTTTCACAAAAATATATCTTAAAACTAAAACGACCAAAACATCATTTTTTATTTTGAAAATTTCAATTTTTTTTAAAAAAAATATTTTAATCATATCCCCAAAACCCCACTCCTCAACTTTAAACAAAAAGGTTTACAATTAGTTAACCCAAAAGATATAACTGTATAGTTACTTATTTTTGATAAAACATTTAAGTATATCTTGGTCATTTTTATTTTAAAGTCTATATTTGTGATTAAAATATTTTTAGGTCTATCTTAAAAAGTTTGTCTTAAAATTATATTGAATAATATATATGTATCTTTTATCTTTTGGTTAAATTATATTAAATCAGATTTTATACTATTAAGAGAAAATTTTGTTAGATATATAATTATCAAAATATAAAACTAAATAATATTTCTAAAATTTATAGATGTTATAAATAAAGCTAATGGTATTAGGATTAGATAATTTCAATTTTTAAAAATACTGCATAAAATTTTGAAAAACAAAATTTATTAATAAAAATATATAATTAAAAATAAACTTAAAAATATTTCAATATTTGTAATATTATTATATTTACATTTCTACTATTATATTATTTATTATCTTAATGATAATTTATGAGTTCTTTTTCTTATCACTATTTTAATACAAATTTTTGTTTAATCGAACATAAAAAGTAATATAAAAATATTTTTCTTTATTTTAAATTATATTTAAGAATATGCATGTATATATTTAAAATTATAATCTTAGAGAATTGTTTTATCTATTTATTTTAATTAAATATATTAAATAAATTGTAGAAAATTTTATAAATATCAAAAGTTAAAATTAGACAATATTTATTAACTTTTTAAATATATAAGCAATTTATAATTTTAGGATTAAATTTTAATAATTTCATAAAATGTATGCATTTTTGAAATTTTTGTAATAAAATTATATAGTTTTAAAATATATAATTAAATGATATTTTCGAAATTTTTAATGCCATATTGGTATATATTTATTTTAATGATGATTTATTAGTTATTAACATATTTTAAAAATATTTCCAAAAATATAAATCGACATTAAATGTAATATATGAATTGTTACCATAATCGATAAAGTTTTCCAAAAATATATATTACCATTAAATGCAATTGTCCATGTTATATTTAATCATATGTCATGTCATTAATTTTAGTAGACATGTCACCATTTTTTGTGAAACTGATTCTAAAGAGGACATGTGGCAAAATCACTTAATAAATAATGTATAGGGGATTGTTTTGTATCTTAAACTTGTACTGTTTTTTTATATATATTTGATTTTTTTGTTGTAAACTTTTGTAAATGAATGGTATAATTAATATAATTAGTTTAGCTATAACAATAATAATTCCACTTCCATTCGTATAAGAGTATCATTAACCCTTAAGAGCCAAAATTTAGTTCTTAAGTTTTTTTGTTTTATCTGATTTTTTTTTAAAATTAAAAACCAATCAATCGCGTACCGTCATATGTTAATGGAGTCCGCGAAAAACACAAGAATTGTCTTTTGCATAAAAAGTTTAAAAGTTAGATTTTATAAAAATTGTTGGATTTATCTCTTAAGAATCCACTTAAGAGGTGAGGTTAATGGTGCTCTAACTAGCTTAACTACGTTTATTATATGGTCAAGCAGTCAAGCAGCTGGAACCATTTCTAAGTACTAAATTATTGTACACTAACAAGAAAAATAATGTCAAAATTTTGATGGACTAAAAGTAAATATTGATTAAAATATATTTATAGATTATTATATAGTTTGTTAACTGATTTAGTTTAAATGTTAAGAAAATAAAAATGTTATACATTAACTAAATTTTTAAGAACTATAATCATGTGTCAAATTTTTAGATAACTTTTTGATTAGGTGGCTTAAAGAAGACATTATTTTTCTTTATATACATAGACTTGATATTAAATAAAAACAATCCAACCATAACAGATCACTTTGTTTCTTATGTACTTTAGGCCATCTCCATTAAGAGTTTATTAGGGGTTCAAGGGAGGGGTTCACACGGTTTACGAGACAAACAGTGGTGAATCCACTTCACTTGAGTTTGCTGCGTTGATACTGGTTCGTCACGGATTTGCCACGTGGTAGACCATGATTCGTCGATTTTTTTTTCTTTTTTTGAAAAGGTAAAAAAAAAAAGCCACCTGCCGAACCTCAATGGAGGGTTTGCTAATGGAGATGCCCTTACAAAATAAAAAGTTGATATGACAGTTCTTTCAAACCTTATAAATATTTAACTGAACAGAATTCTTAGATTTCAAATGTTACATTCTCCTAGTCGTATTTTAATAGTGTAGTGATTAAATAACTTCACATCTGTAAATCTTAAATTCTTTTTTGATATAATATTACACCACGTACATGAGAAAATTCACTTGCAAGATGAGATCTTGCAGCAACAGTCTCCAATAACAATACTCCTGAGCATATTTAAATAATCACGCTTCTTCTTTAGTTTCCAGAAAATCAGCTCTCTCTCGAAGAATCTTCGTCCCCATATACCTACACATTTAACTCCCCAAGAATTATATGTTATATTTAACATGTGTGGATATTTATGCACAAGGGTTTACCTTCCTAGCATCATGATCGTTGCTTGAGGATTAGTCCCTGGGGTCTTAAGAAACGTGGATGCATCGACGACTCTCAAAGCATCAATCCCTAATACTTTGTAATCATTGTCGACCACTTTTCCAACTTGACAACCTCCATGGTAATGATAAATAGTCATCACCGTATCTTTACAATATTGCTTCAAATCGAACAATGAGTTTATGTGCCTTGGCCTCACATTGATGGGAAGACCAAGAATAAAATCCAACAATCCCCGCCCGGTGACTCCAGGGATCATGTACTTTGAATATTTCTTCGAATCTATCACTTTAATTATAGTACTAAGTCCTTCAACACAATTATTCAAATCTTCTTGTTCTTGGTAGTAGTTGAATGTCACTGAAGGATTATCATCTGGATTTGTGTTCCGCAGCTCCAAATGACCTCTCGAGATAGGCCAATCAACTTTCTGAACCATGGCACCTGCTTGCGTTGTCACATTAACTCGAAGATCCGATAACTTAAAAAAACGTGAGAGGGTTTTAGTGGGAAGTTTCATCTGCATAAAACATCATACACAAATTAACATATAGTCTTTTAAATAACAAAATTCGATAATGTCATAACTGATAATCTAATCGTTAGTTGATTAGGTATTGATTATACCTCATTGAGAAGATTTATAACAGCACCGAAGAAGCTATGCGTCAAACTAAAAGAGAGACTTAGCCCACTCCCACCTTCAATGTAACTACCAAAATGAGGGATTCCAGCGACTTGGACTAATGACACTTCTACGGGTTCAGGAGAAGGGATGAAGACAGCGTTCATAGGATTATCACACATTCCTTGTCCCACCATGGGTTGATCTAGGACGACCGGATCTACACCATGGGCTGCTAGATGGGCCGCAGGGCCAACACCACTCAACATCAGTAGCTGAGGGCTAGCGATGGCACCGGCTGATAAGATCACCTCATTTAGTGTGCTATTTGCTGCTAATTTTGCCGTGTGGAACACTCCATTGGCATCCCGGAAGATCACACCATTAGCCTTGGGCCTCATATTTCCTGTATAAAAATGTTAGAAAATATTTGTATGATACATTATTGCTTACTAGCTAACACCAAAGCGAGCGACTGAAAGTCATATGAACCTATTGTAGCAAAACAAATTTGTTTTAAATTTTTGCTTCCAATATGTTTCAATTATGCTATCACAAACACATATTATGAATACTCTTAAACATGTAATAAATAAACAAAAATCATAAATAGCAAACAAACAAACTAAAGTGCCCATGCTTTCTTTGAAATATTTCGGTACTGAAAATTCTACATAAATTATTACTGAAACACACACAAGTTCTGACAAAAGAAAACAAAATACCTAGAGCCAAAATTTTGAATAAGTGGGTGATAATTCTCTCTTATCTTCATGACCCTACGAGTCATGCCGTGATCTCCTTCTTCAGTCATAATTATTTTATATGAATAATTGATGCGTTCTATACGAAAATCTCTTTTATTGTAAAAATTCATTATCTCGCCCACATACGCACAGAAAATGTTTCTCTTCAATACAGAAAATTCATTATCAACTTAAAGGTTCAACTAGTCCAAAGAGCCACTTGGTTCAGTCTTATAGATCTTATACCATAATTAACCTAGAATTCTTAAGATGATCGGAAGTTAAGAAACTATTTCTTAATTTTTAACTAAAAAAATAAATCGGTTTTTAGTTTTTTAGTTAAAAATTAAGAAACAATTTTTTAACTTCTGCTAAGAACTCCACTCTAAGAATTAGAGTATCTCAGATTAATCATGTTCTTATATTGGAAAACTAAAACAGACCTTTAGTAACTATCAATCAAACATACCTTTGGTGGTGAAGAGGATCTTATGGACAGAAGCATGCAAGTAGACAGTAATCTTATTCGGATCAGCATACTCCAAAAGATTCGCTGCCGTGTGTCTCCTACCATCCGTATCAAATGTGGTACCACCCACTTTGGTCCCATGAACATGTTCGTACGTAAAACCATTGTAAGGAGTCACTCCAGTCTCCAAAAGACCATCTACAAACGCACTTTGCCACCCCTTAATCTGTGGTTCGAACACTAGTTTCTTCTCGACCCACTCGTAAGCAGCTTTGACCTCTTCTCTCACCCAACCAGATTCCGCCACGTAATCATCTTCCGCACGTGAGTAGAATCCAGCGTTTAGCACCGTTCCTCCTCCGAGCACGCGTGCGCGTGTGTTGAAAACGCCGTCCTCGGAGATGAAATGCTGAGACCACGAGTTTGGAGTTGTGTTCAAGAGTGTTTTCAAGAAGTTCCCGATGTCTGTATCCGTGGGGTTGTCGTAAGGTGAGCCACCACGTTCGAGAACTAGAACGGTGGCGTTTTGAGATAGCGTTGCGGCTAGTGCACATCCTGCGGTTCCTCCTCCGATGACAATGTAGTCGAAGTGAGATAACGTTGGTGCTGATGTAGCATCTTTTGAAAAGCTATAAAAACCAGCTTCATTATAGCAAAAATATTCATTAATTTTTGTAATAAGTATATACTAATAATAACCTAAAGATTCATAAATGGTTAGTGAAGGAGGCAGGAAGATAATAATGGTACCTTTGTCGGAATAACACGAGCCATGGAAGATGAAAACGGCGACGCTAATCAAGCAAAATAATCGGAATATATGAAAATCCATTATGTTTTTAAATTATATATGCTTCCTTTCTATGAATATCTTTTTGGGCATAAGAAAACCAGATTTCATGCGCTTTATATAATGGGAAATTGTAACAAATACCACTTTTCTAATACCATTTTTCATTTATGCCTTAATCAACTTTACCTTCAAAATTTTAATAGGCAAAATACAATTATACCCCTAGCTAATAAAACCTCAATTGTTTTCTTCCCCCCATGAGATTCGACGATTGACGAGATTCGACGATTGACGAGTTCTCCGGCGAAATCTGACGATGCTGATGAGTTCTCCGGCGAAGCACGAACGAGACGATCTCTCTCCGGCAGTGGTACTCTGTATCTCGCTGAAACACATGGAAGGTAATTTGTTCTGTGAATGGTTAGCTAGATTGTTTGATTTCTCTGTAGTTTAGCATATTATATATATGCGATCAAAGGTAATTGAATTAGATACGGAACCTCTTGTAATGTCTACTGATCCAAAAATCATATCAAAAGAGTAGTAAGCTCGTTTACTTGAGTTACCAGGCTCTCCTTGTTCTTTTTAGGTCTATCAATTAGTCTGAGCGGTAGGGTTTGGGGTTTGGGAATCTTTATTTAGTAATGAGGATATAGGATTGGTTAAGCAAGGTTTGAAGTGGTTGCAGTCTCAGAGACCTTTGTGCTCGTGGGTTTGTGCTGCAATGCAATGTTATGGGGGAAAGACAGAAGCTTTCGTTGAGCGTCACTGGCCACTAGTGTGCAGTGGA